GAAGAAAAAAAACAATCAGAAGGAAAACATGCGTATATCAGCCTGTGCTTGACAAAAAGGTCTCTCTCTCTCCCTCTCTGTTTCTTTTTCCCTCTCTATCTCTACCTCTCACCACTATCTGATTGTTTCCGTACAGTTAGAGGACAGAGTGTGATGGCTGGCTTGACGTTACAGAGAGAGAACATAGAGAAGCAGGGGGAGAGAGATAAAAACAGAGAGAGAGAGAGATTTATGGGAGGGGGGTAAGGAAAGCAAAGGAGAGCTACAGATAGGACTTAAAGATGTGTGTTGAATTGGATTATGATGGCGCTTTGTTCCTTATTATCTTGGCATTTCTGCTCCTTGGTGTCCACTGAGACCCGTTAGAGATAGCCCGCATTTAAATGTCTCAAGAATAAGCCCTAATGATCCCGGCGACCCCCAAACATGTTTTATACTGACATAAAAGTGGAGTAAAGTAGTGTTGCATTCATATAAAGCAAAGAAGAAAAGAGGACTCGGGAGCAAAGACATTGATAAAGAAAGTTCCTTTTTCTTTTCTTTATTACTTTCGTTTCTTTCAGGACGCCGTTAAGTGCTCCGGGTTGGTCGTTGGTCGATAACATCATTATTATTTAAATACCGAGTCTCCTGCCTCTTGAGGTCATAACTTAGAGAGGTCGAAGGAGTTGCTTTGAGTATAAGTGACTGTGTGTCTGACAGTACGCTCACACCAAAAGATGAATTTGCACCTCTGGGCGCTCTGGCCACCAGCCGCCAGGAGGCGGATCGTTGAAGCAGCGCTGCAGACCCCACGTTTGGTTGCACCCAATATCAAGTTTGTCGTTGAGTTCTCAGCAGCCCAGAAAGCATGATCAAATTAACTGTTTTCCACGATTTCCCCTGTTTATTATTTAGTATAATAATAAACAGTTAATATTTAATATTTCCAATTGTATTTCCATGTATACAATTGACTTGCGGCTATTGTATAGGTGGCAACATATTTGGAATCAAAGTGGAATCTAATCTAATAGAGAGATCAGAATTGGACCCGGTTCTTCACTCTCAGTACACAATACAAATGAACAAATGTATTGGGAATGAAGATCACCTTCGTGTTTGCGTCTACGTTTGTGTCTCGGTAGACAAACGGGAAATGGGATCCGGGAGACGTCAACAAATAGTTTCTCCTCCATGTCCGCTAGAAACTAGCGGACTATTGGTCGCTGGTTCTGCACAGCTTCGGCGGCATTGTCTATGCCGACGCGCGTTCTGAAATTGGGCCGTTGGCGCGCCAAAATCCATTCCATACCAAACGAGTGTTTAGCAGCTCCCATCGCTGTATCTTTGTTTTGTAAGTGCATTAAGTCCAGTAAGTGCATGCGAACTGCCCTGGCTAGGTCGTTTTCTCCCACAAACAAACAAATCCAAACAGGCTTTCGATTCTGTGTTCACGCGCCGCTGCACATGCTCACACACACAGACTGAGAAGTGAGATTTCAGAGCTAAGATGGTGGCCGCGTTCAGCCTGTGTGATCGTAGAATGAGCCAGTCCACTGACTGTCCTGGCGAATGTATCTAAATCAATCTCTCAATCTATCCCGCCCCTCTGATTTATTATTATTTATTACAAAAATATAGGTGTCCCTGGGCTGAAAAAGGTTAAAGACCCCTGTACTAGAGTATGGAGTATAAAAGTGTTTGGTGCATCCCAAGTGACTTACAAGTAAATTCAGATTACATGTAGGATGTTAGGGGTATCTTGCTCAAGGATGCCTACAGGTAGGTAACGGACATTGGGAGCTCAAACCCAGTAACAGAAACTATATTCTTCACCCTTTTTGGGTTGGGCACCCCAGTGTCCGACGAGGAAGAAGCTGTGTTTTAGAAAGCCAGGCAGTGCTCCATGTCGATAAAACAATGATATACGGTGGGACCAAGCGGCGAGGGGAAACGAGCCCAGATAATTGTTTGTTTGGTGTTTGCTCTCCGACCATGCTGGGGGTGGATGGGTGGGCGGCTCCACCTCAATGAAGGTCACGCTTTATCGAGTGTTTGGCGGCAGTTATGATCGTAACCGCCACCGCCACCGCCACTGCCACTGCCACTGCCACCACTGCCGTTGTTTTTAGGGCACAACTATTTTTTATTGATTAGACCGTTGGCTTCCAAATGGCGCGTTTTATTTATTTATTTATTCATTTTATGACCGTTTGAAAAATTGGTCCGCATATACGCCAAGCAGCTCATACACACACATTTTGTTGTCGTCAAGTGAATGTAAAAACGTAATTTATTGGACGCGAAGAATGAGTTTGGAGATTTTTACAGCCGCAATGGCCTGGACGTAGCACGACAACACAAGCATTAAGTTATGTGTTTCTAAAATGTTTCCTCACCAAAGAAAATATTTCCCCATCCCAGCATGGTTTTATGTGGACTTATATAATATAAAAATATGAACGTGGATGATTAACAAGTTGAAATTGCACAAATGGCAAATCAAATGATGTCATTCGGTTGACTGCTGTTATTTTGGAGATTCAAGCAAAGATGGAGTCCGTGTTTTAATGCCTACTTTGTTCAAATTCTAATTATCCTCCGATTTATGGCAAATCAAATGATGTCATTCGGTTGACTGCTGTTATTTTGGAGATTCAAGCAAAGATGCAGTCCGTGTTTTAATGCCTACTTTGTTCTAATTCTAATTATCCTCCGATTTAAAGGGATTAGTAACTCTGATTAGAGAAATTATACTGCTCTCTGATGCTGCCTGTTGGACATGAGTCAGACTTTGGCGTTGCTTGGTAGTTATTATCATTTCTGTTTTAAACTCTAATCCTCTGACTTACTGTTGTCAGAATTTATGAGGATTAATGGTTTGCCTCTGCTCGTGTAAGAGAGAGAGAGACGTTATTCTTCGTTTTGTTTGTGACTCTGTTTTCCTGCTTTTATGTCAGCTTTATATTAAGCACAGCTCATGTTTGACTTTTCATGAGAGCGTTCTTACTGTTCAAGCAGTAGGTTTGTGCTTGTTTCCCCTTTGATATTTATACCAAATGTAAACACGTGAATATTAAACTTTTATCACCACCACCACATATATTTACTATTTAGTCATTCATCCAAAGTGACTCACAGTGAATTCAGATACATGTCATGAAGGAGCAAGTAGGAGTTAGTGGCTACAGTCAGACATTGGTTTCATCACAGTCACAATCAGATAAGACACTAAGACACTGGGTTAACAACTAATGAGAGGAAGAACGAAGAGGGAGAAAGCAAAAGAGAGAGAGAGGGAGAGGGAGAGAGAGAGAGAGAGAGAGGGGGGGGTGCAGAGGGAGAGAGGGGTATAGAAGATGGGAGAGAGAGAGATGCAGAGAGCTAGAGGGAGAGAGACAGTGAGGGGTATAGAGGGAGGGAGAGAGCGAGAGAAAGAGAAGGAAAGGGGCATAGAGGGATAGTGAAAGACAGACGGCTATAAAGGGAGGGGGGGGAGAGGGAGATTGAGAGATTAACTTCCCAAATGAACTCTCCATTTCCTGACGTCATCTTTAAGCATCCCCAGAGTGCCTGCCCCCCGGCCGGGTACGTGTTGCAGTCCGTCAGACCCTCCAAGACGGATAATTATGGGATGGATGGAGGGGGGGGGGGGGGGGGGTGAAAGGTCAACGGAGGGGTCTGGGCTGCTTCAACCTGGCCCCCGGGCTGTCCTCCAGACCAGACCTCATTAGCCAACATCACGCACACGCGCCCCCCCCCCCCCCCCCCCAAAAAAAGCTAATCTGTATGCTAGCCACTAACCGCTAATGCAGACATCAATGGGGATGGTTAGCGGTACGCTATGCTCCATGCTCCTGTTCAAGTGCCCAGGTTCAAGGCCCCACAACGCGAATCCGCTTGACTGATAAAGGTTTAGCCACAACAAACCGTAGGCTATGAATTCAAATGAGTTCATTTGAAGAGATTTTGTTGTTTTGTTTGTTTTTCTAACCCTAGTCCCTGTTTAGTATATCTGTAACCGTCCGCCAACCCATCATAGACAAATAATGTGAAACAAAATGGATTCTGTTGCAATACATAAATATGCTTAATTTGAAATATATTTACACATATTTACATTGACACTTTTATCCAAAGAGATCCACAGGAGTGAGTACATGCCATTAAGGAGCAGGTAGGGGTTAGGGCATCTTGCTCAAGGATGCCTACAGGTTATGCCGAGTTCACACTCCTGATATTACACTCGCCAACAATTTGCTGAACTCGCAGACAAAAGCCCCAGCCTGGAGGCAAATCGTAGCGCTCTGAGCGATAACGCTGTAGTGTGAACTGCCTCGAAAACGTGATCTGAGAGACAGAGACGCAGAGGCCCCAGAGATATGGAGCAGGTTAAATATCCGGACCTATCGGGGAGTCCAAATCCTGTCGTTTGAAAGGTGTTGCGACCGGCAATGACAGCAGCGATGACCTACAGCCAATGAGAGCGCAAGACATGGGTGAGAGGAAAACAAGGGTGGGGGGGTCGTAACACAATAATATAGTTTTTATCAGAATAAATTGCCATACACACACACACTCTTTTCAGTTATTTTTAACAAAAATGAAGCACAAACATTATGAGATACACACTCAATATGAGCAGCCAGCTAGCTAAGTTTTCATTGCATAATAATTTATTTCCCTCCAACTCTCTCCGCCTCCATATTCTATTATTTTTCTCCCTTGTTTTTTCACTGCAGATCAGCCCACAAACATCTTGGATTGCAAGCTCCTTGTGGACATCCATTTTTGGAAGCGTCACTTCCCGTGTGTGTTTTCGTGACTTCAGGTAGTTTGGAGACCAGTCATACTCGTCTGGGATTCCTCCTGCCTCCACATCTTGTAATCTGTCGCCGATCAGCCATGTAGTGTGAAACCCACAACGACTTCAAGACACCCGATTACAAGAAAGACAGTCGTGTAATGTGTGCAGTACTGCGATCTGACAACAAAGTTGTGTCGTGTCTAGCGGGAATTAGGCTGTAGACTGGGGTTTGAACCCAGAACCTTCCGGCTGGGAGTCAAACACCCTCTTAGCCACTAGACTATCCTGGCCCACAGTATGTGCTGCATAGATAGACAATCCAGACATCCAGTCATTCATCCACACACCATCCATCCATTGTTCTCCTATCATCCATTCATTCGTTCATCCATCCATCCATTCACTCATCCATCCACTTATTCATCCATTCAGTCATTCATTCATCTATCCATTCATTCATCCATCCATTCATCCACCTACCATCCATCCATCATTCCCATATCATCCATCTAAATCCATCCACCATCCATTCATTTGTGTCTCAGCAGTGTATTCCTGGTGGGGGTGCCACACAGCTTGAGAACGATACCAGCTGACTAGAAGCTTAAGGCAGGGAAAACTACATTGAAACCAAAGCTAGTTCATCACAGGGTCAATCACACAATCCAATCCTGGAGTAATCTAGTGCTGGCACTTGACCTGACCTTGTCAGGTGTGTGTGTGTGTGTGTGTGTGTGTGTGTGTGTGTGTGTGTGTGTGTGTGTGTGTGTGTGTGTGTGTGTGTGTGTGTGAAGCCCATGCAACCAGAATACAACCAGGAACATGCATACCTGAGGCAAGTGAAATGTGGCAATTCACTGACTACTTTGGGTTATTACTGATGCAAATATGTACATTTCACAAAGCTTAGTCATATTCATTATTTTTTTATTCACATGGGCTCATGTCTCTTTCTCCCTTTCTCGCTCACACACACACACATACACACACACACACACGCACGCATGCACGCATACACACACAAACACACCACATACTCCCCTTCTAAGACACGCACACAGTGCTAATAAAGGGTCTAATCTTTATGCCTTATCTTTCGGAGAATATCCAATTCCATCCGCAGTGAATGATTCACTTCAATAGTGCATTTCCCACCGAGGCTGACGCATATGCTTTCATTAAAAATGAATGTTAATCAAAATGAGCTCAGAATTTTATAATCAAAATAAGTCCCCACTTAAACCAAGTCCTCTTTTTCCTTGTCTGTAATTACAGTGGGCCAGTTGTGCCTCTTGTAAGCGACGACAAGCGGCTGAAAAGGTTTTTTTTTTACCTTCTTCCCCTAAATTGCCCTCCTGTTTGGTTCTTTTTTTCAAATGTTGTAAAATATGTCCCTCTTTCGTGGAGGAACAAGCCACTCACACTTTCATCCAGGCAGAAGGAAAGGCTGATTAAATTTGTGTCACACAGGGGGGAATCAATCAAATCCCGAAAACACAAACACACACACACACATATGCACACACGCAAGTGAAAAGTCAGATTTGTACAACAGGTCCCATTTAAAAACATTAATCAATATTTGTTTTGTTTTCTCACTTCAAGTATCTCACCTCAACCCTCAGGCAAGAAAGTCTGGATGGTCATTTATATTCTGATTGATTGGACCAGCGGGCCATTCCAGTTACTGATCACCACCGGGCAGTTGGGCCTAGCCCAAGATGTTTTATTAAGAGAAGGGATACTCAGTGTCCATCTAAATTTGGCGCAAGTACTGTGGATGGGTCATGTAAAATGTAAGAGAGTAAGTAACTTTGAGGAGGTAGCTGTGTACTTCGCCGATCGAAGTGTGTCCAGCGAGTGAACTGCTCTGTGTCAATCGAAACCTGCACAGTAATGTTCATCTGGTTCGGTGATCAGAGGAACCCGGAGGTACTGGGACGGCCCCTCGGTCAAGGCTCCTTTCCACTCTGGTAGGTCGAGTCTGTTTGGCATTCGCAATGTTTAAAAGTATACCCCGTTACTGCTGCATTGTAGCGCCTTTCGAATCAGAATGGATTACTACTATTGCTACTGAATGAATGAATGGATGGATGGATGAACTATAGCTACTGTCCTGTCTATAGCTACTGTCCTGTCTATAGCTACTGTTCTGTCTTTAGTTACTGTCCTGTCTAAAGCTACTGCTACAACCACGTCCGTACTTTCTTGTAACCCTCAGCCTGTTGGCTACGGCCCAGCTGACAAAAGAAGAAGAAGAAGAAGAAGAAGAAGAAGAAGAAGAAGAAGAAGAAGAAGAAGAAGAAGAAGAAGAAGAAGAACCTGGATCAAATAACCTGAATTCCTCAGTCGGAGGAAAAGTGGGGTAGAAGGGGGTCCTCAGGGCTTCAAGCTCCATCAGTGATAGCATTGATTCTGTCAGACTGTATCCTCCCCTTCCCTTGTATCCTTAACTCCGCTTGGCACTAATCCCTGTCTCCAAAGGCCCAACAAGACCAGAGCTATTAACCTGCCATTCATTTCTAGAATGGCTCCAAATGTTGCCCATATTGGTTTCTGACCCGGACAACTCTCTGGACGCTACGGACTGTTACTGGTACTACAGTAATGTAGCTACCTATATACAGATAGGTTTGACAATTGCCATGTGCTATGTTCTGACAGGCTGTTGCGTTGTCACCACATGTTGTCTTGTCTACATGTATCCTTTAGAAGCACCACAAGGTTGAAGCAGCTCATTGTGGAGAAAGGCAATGGAGCTCCTTGCTTTGGAAAACCAGTGCCGCTGAACCGGTGTGTACCACAACACACCGCAACACATGGACAACTCTGCAGAGTTTGGCTTGGGGCTCTGGGTGGACTTCTGTATGAATCCCCATTCTGGACCTGGATCAATAGACTATAGGGATGAGACTGCGAGCGGGAGGGTGCGAGTGATGAATACTACGAGAGACGGGTCGAAAAAGAGAGGCTGAAACACAGGTGGTTTTGGGTTGGTAGGTGAAGTAACAGGTGTGGTCTTTTTGAGACCTAGATCTAGCCTAAAGCTATGCTTGGTCATAACTATGTTTGCAAAGAGAGAGAGAGAGAGAGAGAGAGAGAGGCAAGACAATTACCTCAGGTACACAAAAGAGACATCTTGAACATGATGTTTTTCCTGCAGATTAAATGCTTTAGCGTCATTTTCCATGGCAATTTCATCACATGACACAACTGAACCTGGAAAAAACAATCCAGTCCAGTCCAAATCCATTATTTTCACAAACACAAAACATAAATGTATTCAACTCTTGGAAAGCAGTCTCAGCCTGGAAGCCTAGAAACACCATTCATGAGCATCTACAGGAGAGGTCTGTTGTTTTCTGCCACAACAGAGGGGGGGTTCCATAAGCAGCAATTGATTTCTGTGCCAAGCAAATGCCCACTCAAATTTTTTTTCTTTCCTTACTTTTCCTCTTTCCTCTGCCTCCAGGATTCCTGCTCTCCCTCTTCCTCCCTCTTTCTCTTTCCCTCCCTTTCTGTCTCTCTCCAGGGTGTCTGGCAAATAGAGTTGGCCAATATTCTTTAGCTTGTTTGTTTTAGTCCGCGCGGCGTGCTATACTATATTCTCACCAGCTTGTCAGCTTGTCATTGAATTCATTTTTTACTCTGCATCTTTTCAACATTTTGTCATCAAGTCTGCCAATCGTCAATCGCCCTTTGTCCAAAATGTAATTGGGGAGGCGTTTGTTGTTTCCCCCCTTTTTTAGTAAGACAAACTCTGAGGCAAAAGCTATTAAACGAGAACATACCAGGCATGGAGAAAAGACAGACATACGCCATTAGATTAATTACTTTTTTTAGGGGGGGGGGGGGTGGTGTTTATCTACAAAAGCAGATAAACCGGGGGGGGGGGGGGGGGGGGTTGGTTGGGGGGGCAGACAGGGGCCAGACTGTCATATCCTGAGAGAGCTGGGCTTTAAAAAAAAAAATTTGCTGTCATGCTCTGACGGTCAGGGCGCCGTGTTTGGCCACTGCAGATTAATTGTCGGTTGGAAATTAAAGTTTCTCTCCGTCCAAATGGTGTCTTCCAGCAGTATGCCCCCTTTCTCTCTCTCTCTCTCTCTCTCTGTTCTCTCTCTCTTTCTCCCTCCCACTCTTTCTCTCATTCTCACTTTCCTCTCTCTCTCTGTCTGTCTTTTTTTCTCTCTCACTTTCTCCCTCTCTCTCTCTCTCTCTCTCTCTCTCTCTCTCTCTCTCTCTGTTTCTGTCTCTCTCTCTCATTCTCCTTCTCCCCTCTCTCTCTTGCCCCCTCTCTCTCTCTGTCACTCTCGCTGTTTCTACATTCTCTCCCTTCCTCCCCTCCCATTCTCTTTCTCTCTCTATGTGAATGACATCCCAAAAACATCTTCTCAACAGATTAGGAGTTGAGTACAGAGTTGGTCTTCTTCTCTTTTGCTCTCACTACATTCACAGACTGATAGTAAATACAGATACAGGGGTTAGGCATCTTGCTCAAGGATACCTTTCAGCTGGTATAGTAGTTAAACCACCTAGCCGCTCCACTCTCCTGCCCCTATTTAAAAATCTATTTATGTATGTATTTCATATCTACATTCCACAGATGCAATTATTTATACACCTTCAAGTTTCAAATACTAATCTCACTGCCTTGCTGTGCCTAGAGGCTAGATATAATAAATGATAATTCGGATGAAATTGAATCTAAACGCCGCAATGATACAGCAGGACAGGTTATGGAAGAACTCTCTCTCTCTCTCTCTCTCTCTCTCTCTCTCTCTCTCTCTCTCTCTCAAAGGGCCAAAGCTCATCATTAGCCACTATATTGTTTCTATGGGGGAAAAATGCATCTCATGCACAATTGATCCTATATAAATGGCCAGGACCCAATCTGGGTGGGGTATGGAATCTCTTGACTTTTATTAGCTCTGGGACGGAGACATAAATATTAATGTTCATCCAACGACTCCATGCTTTATTAATGACACGAGCGTCTTGTGAAATTAAACTGACATAATGGGATTTCGTCCATTGCTAGAAGAGGATGGTCGGGGTTTCGAAGGAATGGATCTGGATAGAAATCCTCTCTCTCTCTCTCTTTCTCTCTCATTCTCCCCCCCCTCTCCCCCTCTCTCTCTCTCTCTCTCTCTCTCTCTCATTCTCCCCCCCCCCTCCCTCTCTCTCTCTCTCTCTCTCTCTCTCTCTCTCTCTGTCTCTCTCTAGTTTTGGTGACAAGGTGGCCCAACGATTTGTTATGGAGCAGACCGTAGCTGGGGATGTTTAGAC